CCCGCTAGCGGCAAGCCTTTCTACAGAGACTGATGGCTCTCAGGCCACAATTGAGTTAACACGCGCATGAAGTTGTTACACCACTTCAACCCTACAGATTTATGACACAAGCCCTGGCAAGAGCCCTAGTTTCTGCCTGCGGGCAAATAAGTCGCTTCGCTAGCTGAGGTTCGATCCCCCTAAATAAGGACTCCGTTCGAGCCACTTTGCACAATGCAACTTGAGCGATAATGACTGATTTCATGGAAATTTAACTTGTCACACAGGCTCAAAACTTTAGAATATATTAATGCAAAAGATATTTAGAAATAGCAAAACTTTACACGATGCATTTCGACTAGTCTGTAATTTCTGCTTTTCGACGCAATATAGAGCAGCAAACACTCGTCATAATTAGAATACTTATTGCGAAGTGTAATACGAAATTGGTGGAAATAAATTTTGTGTAATTGTAGCTAGAATTCTCGGTGGTACAAAAGCCTGTCGAACTAACACAGACCGTACCAACTTAAAAGTTACTAAAAATGCGCGAAATACAATGTATCACTCTCACTTATATTACTATTTTTACAACACTTCTCATTAACTTCACTTCTTGTTGTTTGTTTGTTTGTTTGTCTGTCTGCTACAAATCGTTTAATCGATATTTAACACACTTATACCCCTCCAATCGATCTGAAAATTTACACACTTGCATAAAGTCGGAGCAAATGCATGAATCAATTGACGGAATATATAATTTTGAAAATTAAAATTTTTTTAATTAAAAAAAATTGAAAAAATAATTTTGTCTTCTACAAATCTATTATTCGATATTCAGCCAACTTCTACCTGTCCAATCGATCTGAAATTTTGCACACTTGGGTGAAGTCGGACACAATGCATGAATCAATTGACACAATAAAATAATTAATAAAAATTAAAAATTATTTTTTTAATCTATGGAAATAAAATTAAAAATTCATTGTAGATGTGTAACATCAGGGACACTGAATTTTTCAAAAAAATTGTCCTTACAAATTAATTTTTAAACGCATATTATTTAAAAATAGAGTTCTTAACTGCACTCAACAATATTAATTGATTATCACAGATATTTTTTTTGTACTCTAACTTCATATGAATGCGTTATCAATATGGAAATTGTCATTGATACAAATTAAAAATGTTGAGTTATATTATCTGATTTTGACACAATATATTTTCTGGGCCCTAAATCTATAATTACTGTCCGTAATTAAGACCCTGTAAGCATATACTGCATAGGAGTGAGTTCGCGTGGACCGCATAAGGGCTCTTGGCCACCAAAAACTGGCCGCGAATCTGATTTCAGCTTTTCGATCCATCGTCTCGGAATGGAGCAGAGCTCAACTAAATACAGTTTGTAATCTAGCAAGGGCTTAGGGATTGAAAACCCGGACCCTGTCATCACATGGGCTTCATCAATCAATTTTTGATAGCGAACGCAAAATGAAAAAGTTCCTCTCAACACTGAGGAGTCATTAGCAAGCATTAGAGAAGTGATGCCGCTGTTGCGGTATAAAAGAACGCGTCTCATTAAATCCCCGCCCACATTGTCAGCGTACAGGCTCAAATTACAGAAGTATATCCACACAGACTGTATATTAAAATGATGAAAAAGATCAATTTATGCTTTTTGATATTAAGACGTTCTTCCAATAGACGTTGAATTCTTTTTTGAGTACTAAAGCCCTGGAAATAATGGTAAATACTTTGAAAATATTCTGCTCTGTTGACATTTAGATGGGAGAAACCCTATAGGATCGAAGGAACATGATCATGCAATATAACTTAGCTCTAACGCGGTATGGAAATGATTTTCCTATCGAACTTATTTTGAAGTTTCAAGGATAAGCCCTATGTATGCAGTAAAAATTGATCTGTATGACCCTCTCGTCAAAAATGATTTGCGCATTTAATTGAATCACGCATTGCAATTTCGAAAGATTAGTTCATCACATTAGCAATTAGAATAGAGAACATTTGCGGAAAAATCCGAATTAAAACGTACATTACTATAATTCAATCAAATTTTTCTACACTTTACCATGATAAAAAGTTGTGAGGTTTAAATATCGTGAACAAAGTATCAATTTAAGTTTTAAAATGATATATGTGCTTCGCTGCTCGCAGACACTAACAGGTTGCGGGTATCAGTGTCAGCTCAGTGAGACTCACAATACTGCAGCCTAGGGACCAACCGGTCTTCTACATATATTCAAGTTTATTTCAGTCCAATCCTATAACACACAGGCTATACGTGTTCTCTCCGGATCCTGAATCAGTAATCGGATCTGAGTTGGTGGGGGCAACTTCACTCTTCATCTTTTCATTCGAAACTCTTGGCTACTGCGACGGCTGATCTGGATTATCCCTTCGGACAAAGTCAGCCTCGTGTCTCCGACTCCAATTGACGTGAATGCCTGAATAAGCGATGGAAACTTGAGCGTCTGCTACTGCGTGGCCCGTCTTTTATAAGGCTTTCGTGCAGCTTCTATACTCCAGGGTCTGCTCCTGCGTGATCTGCCTTTTATAAGGCTTTCGTGCAGCTTCTGTATACTCCAGGGTCTGCTCCTGCGTGGTCTGCCTTTTATAAGGCTTTCGTGCAGCTTCTATACTCCAGGGTCTGCTACTGCGTGGTCCGTCTTTTATAAGGCTTTCGTGCAGCTTCTATACTCCAGGGTCTGCTCCTGCGTGGTTCGCCTTTTATAAGGCTTTCGTGTGGTGTTCTTACTTCAGCGTCGCGGTAACCACACATTACGTATATAGAAAAATGGTTCGATTTATAATTGTTAAATAATTATTGTTTCCAAGTCAATGCCTTCCAAACTAAGTATACGAAATTCAGCATATGATTTGATGTTGCGTGTTTTTACAGTTTAACAATAATCTTTTCAACACAACCTGCCGTACACGAAAAAATTAAATCAAGAATTAAAAGTGAATAAAGTTACTCTTCCTACATAATGTCTAAAGACATACTAAGGGTCACATATATAAGAAAAAATTTCCCAAATTAATAAGTCCTTTTTTATTTGTTTTATAAGATATTGGACGAAATTATGCGCATGTTTAAGAGATTTTAATTTATTTTTTGACACAAAATTTTCTACTATTGATATACTCCAGGGTCTGCTCCTGCGCGGTCCGTCTTTTATAAGGCTTTCGTGCAGCTTCTATACCCCAGGGTCGCGGTAACCGCACATTTCGTACATGGAAAAGTGGTTCGATTTATAATTTTTATATAATTATTCTTGTTTTATTGTTATTAAATAATTTATTATTATTAACAAATACCAATAACCTTTTCAACACAACCTGCCGTACACGATAATATGAAATTAAGAAATAAAAGATGGTGCTCGTTCTAAATAATTTCTAAAGGCATATGGACACATTAATAAGAGTAAGCTCCCCATATTAATAATGTCATTTTTTGTTTGTTTTATGAGATATTTCAAGAAATTATGCGCATGTTTAAGCGATAATAATGTATTTTCTGAAACAAAATTTTCTACTATTCCGGGCTGAAGAATATTTTTCCATTCTCAGATTTTAATTTTGAAACAAATTTTTAAAATGTTTACGGATTTTCTCAGCGGGTTAATTGGTTGGTTTTTCGTGGCTCATCGGTCTGGCGGTGGACGCGCCGAGCCTCCACGGGCCGGAGAGCCGATAGGAAAGCAAGACATAAAAGTTTCACTGTAAACGCGCTAGCAAAACAGATCATTCTTCAAGTTACGCGCCAACCTCTGCTATATCTTAATACTTGTTATCTCTTCTCGGGATCTGATAGGACAGAAAGCATGCAATTACGTTACGGCGCAGGCTCATCGGTGATCGCTATCGCGTATTGCACTTCACAAACCTACAATATGAACCCGACCGTCGAGCCATGGGCACCCAAGTTGTGATCACCGACTGGTTCGGTGGTTACCCTCTCGCAACGGAGGTTCTTAAGGAAAATTCAACATAATATTTCCCAAAAGTTATAGTTAAGCCTTACTTTACATGTAAAAATCTGATTTGCCTGACGTGAAGAAGCCAAGTTATCAACAGGGCTGATGGGGTGTAAATCTTCTCATCTGTTTCACATTCTGCTCGACCGAGCAATCAACGATGGCCGACAGACAATTTTTAACTGTAACACTGTACAATACAGAATTATACGGAGTTTTGTTCGATCTTGAGGACATTGCTGTAAATAATTTCAAAGAACTGCCTTCGAGTGCTCAATACCTCCTGCAAAGTTATAGTCTTCACGGGCTATCTTAGTTTCTTGACTTCATAGAATAATTTCAATTCCTAGGCATTATTATTACGAATTTATGCTTCGTAAAATTCTTTTCTCAAAGTCAGGAATTTTTTTCCATTTACTGAATTTTTCTGTCCTATTATTTTTCCGTGACCGAAGAGGAGTGCCAGCATTCGTGGGTTTGGAGGACCAGAATACAGAGACAAGTATCACAAATTTATTCAAGACAATTTGCCCTGCGCGTACAGCCAGTGGCGTGACTAGCATAAAACAACAAAACAAGGCAATTTTATAATTAATATTGACAATCACTAGTATGTTGTTACATTAATAATAAATAAATGGGCAGGTGGAATAGTTGAAATTGGCATTTCCATGATGTACGTACATAATAACTGTTAAATTCGTTCACGAAAAGAACTCATTAGGCAGACGTCAAAATTCCTAGCATGAAAATCGGCAAAGCTTCTTAGGAATTTAATGTTGGACATCACCAGCTAAACTGCATTGAGTTAATTAATAAATCCCATTACAGATTTTATTCACAAACAAGAAAACTATTATACTAGAACATTGAACGTACTTGCAGTTACGATGATCAAGCATTGCACGAACAGTGCTAAATAATATTTAAATGAAGAGAAAATTAAATTTTCATCGCAGCAGCGTAATAACAGATTTAATTGAAAAATGAATTTTCGTAATCAAGCAAAATAATGACAATATTTTATGATTGACTGCCTCAGGCGCTGTGCATTGTGTTTCATTTCATTGATTTGATACTTGCAAAGCGATGATTGATTCACAAAGAGACTGATTAATAAATAATTGAATTGAATTATTTTCGACGTATTTTGATACTGAATTTTCATCGAGTAAAGTGAAAATATTGAAAAAATTAAGCTAGAAGCTTGATAAATGTTGATAAAACTGCTCACTGCTCAGAGGAGAGTTGGTCCTTAACTGTGGGAGGGAGATAAAATTTACCCAGTAACTATTTACATTAAGGCTCAACCTTAACTTAATTAACGAAGTCACGTACAGAAAATATTCACTTCCTTAACGAAAATGAATGTTCGGAATGCAGGAAACAATATCACAACTCGCATGGCGCCGCGAGAGTGCAACTAAATGCCTCACGACAATTGCTTGAACAGAATTTGATTTCTGAGACTCTGAGACAGGATCAGATAAATATTTGATTGATCAGGGGTGAGACAGACGACAAATAAAATGAAGAAAATCCAAATATCGTTAGGAAAACAAACTTTGCGTGCCTTGATTCCTCAGCAATCTAACATGCTTCAGATGTCGGCCAGTGACAGAAATTGATAACTCGAAACGCTTATTTGTTTTGTTTGAATTCTGTGAGGAAGGAATCGATTGCTAAGACAATAAATCCACTGGATTATGAGCTTTTGCAATCAAGCGAACACTCAGGAGGCCTGCAAGGAGGCCGCACCGACGGAATAGGACAAGTCGCCATGTGCTGCAGAGCATACGACGACCGTGGACACGCCAGTGCAGGCGAGATATTGAAATTGTTTCTTGGTGAGGGTAACGTATTAATAGGAGTGCACGAGGGGCACGAAATACAAGGGTAAGCTATCACTTGTCGCTCAAGGCTGTAGCTTCGAGGGAGAGCGCGCACAGACAAAGGATAGGCGTCTGCTTGGTGTGGAATATCAGCCAGATGGCCCACCGATATTGGATTAGAATGAGATCCGGCGGCGATGCGAACGTTCTGACGAAGTGCTGCAGCCTCTTGTATCTCCTCTGAAGGGTCTCTACCAATACTTCGTTTCTTTTTCCTCTTCTTTTTATTGACTCTTGCGTCGGATGAAACGTCAGAGTAATAGGCAGAAGAAGGTGTAGAGCTGCTCTCCGCAGGCTCCGAGTTGCCTTCATACAAGGCGTAAGCGCTGTTCCCATAACCGTAGTCAGACAGAACAAGCTGCTCATGCATTGGTCTGCCGGGATCAGGAATCTCTGAGTAAGTGTTCAGCCCGTGGCCTCCAAGCTCGGCGTACACGTCGCTCTGAGAATCAGGGTTCATGTAGGGTTCTTCGGTGTAGGAATTCTCGGAGCTGTAGGCGGACACGGTGCGCAAGGTTTGGTCCTGCGTCACGTGGCGCCGCCACAGCTTCATGGCCCAGCCCGTAGTGCGCGTCGTCGAGTCCGCTGCAGGAACCGGGCCTCCTTCTGGGGGCTTGGCCTCTGCAGGAGCCCGGGGCCCTCGATTGTTTGTCTGAGTCCACGAATTGCGCGGCAGCGCCAGGCAGGATCCTCCTGGTGAGGTTGGAAATAAATCAAAGGTAAGGTAATTTTAGTGGACAGTGTGTTCATAAGAGGTGAGGTAATTTTAGTGGACAGTGTGTTCATTTAGCGAATCATTCATCTGTTCTTGCTGGTCGAACTCGGGCGAGAAAGAAATTAGAAAATACAGTGACAGGAAAACGTTAAATAATGAGTGAAATGTGCAAGAATTAGATTTAATTCATATGGCACTCATTACCGAGAATCTCTATGATTGGAGCTGCACGAAAGCATATATAGAGCAATAACATGGATTGACCTGCGATATAAAAAAAAAACCTGCAGATTTGATATAATAATACTATTGGAAGGCTTAATATGCATGGTCAAGTGGGACATCAGACAAAAAAGTTATGGGGTTCTATGAAAAGTTTTCTTTGTAATGAATGACCAAAATTATCATTACTTATTATTCACAGTCTGACTCGCCCTCCTCACACGCCATCAAAGTCTACGTATAGGATTTATCTCGCCCTCCTCACACGCCATCAAAGTCTATAACTTATAGGATTTATCTCGCCCTCATCACACGCCATCAAAGTCTATAACGTATAGCATTTATCTCGCCCTCCTCACACGCCATCAAAGTCTATAAGGTATAGGATTTATCTCCCCCTCCTCACACGCCATCAAAGTCTATAACGTATAGGATTTATCTCCCCCTCCTCACACGCCATCAAAGTCAACGTATAAGACTTACCTCGCTCTCCTCACACGCCATCAAAGTCTACGTATAGGACTTATCTGACACTCCTCATACGCAAGTTAGTTTGGTCGCCGCATTCTTAAAAAAATGCAAATAAGTTGGCTTACCTTGGCCGCTGGGGAGAATTTTGGCCCTGCAAGGTAAAAATTGAGAGCATTAAAAACAAGCCCGTGCATTAAGGTATTACATTTTTAGGTCTTAAATATGCCCGCCCGCAATTCTTTCAAAGTTCAGGATTATCTATGTAATTCAAAATATGTAGCTTCTATGATGTTATAATGTAACACCAATGATGTCATAACGTAGCCTTGATGTAGCATTGATGATCAAGAGTTTAAAAGCAAATAGAACGCAAAGTAAATTGACCATATCTCAATTAAAAACGCTTCAGAAACGGGATCATCATATGTAGCATTGATGATCTGATAACTAATTATGTTTATTCGTCAATTGCAGACAAAATTTTAGCAGCGATTTTGAAGTTACATTAGCAAACTTTAAAGTTGTGCTAAGGCGGAGCGCCTGCAAGATTGAGAAGTCATCAGACGGCGATAGGCTGCCACCAATGGTCCGCCATATAGTTGGCCATAGCTGGCCACCGAGTGGTGGCATTGATAGATCGGTGGCCATAGCTGGCCACCGATGCACTGCCGTATGGTTGACCTTAGCTGGCCATCGAGTGACCGGCCATAGCTGGGCACCGATCTGTGCCTATGGTTGGCCATAGCTGGTTACCGAGTGACCGATCATAGCTGGCCGCCGATTTACCGCCGTATGGTCGGCCATAGCTAGTCAACGAGTTATCGGCCATAGCTGGCCACCGAATGACCGACCATAGCTGGCCACCGCTGCGCCGCCGTATGGTTGGCCATAGCTGACCACCGTATGTTTTTAAGTAAGTGGCGGCGCGGCCCAACAGAGCTGCATGTCAATCAACGTCAGCGGCGCAGCGAGCGTGTCAGACGCATGACTTGCGGTCAACGAATTACCCCTCAGATATTCCTTCAGTTGCAGTGCGTGTCCAAAGCGAAGATCAGACTCCCAAACTGACAGAGGAATATCCGTAGACTTTGTTCAATGAAAAGCCTGGCTAAACCTAGTAAGGGATCAATTCATTCACTCCCTGGATCAAGATTATTTTGACTTATTAAATTAAGAAGCGTACACCAACTGTTACTTGCTTTACTGTTCGTCACTCAATCTTCATTATTTGTTAGCACAAATGCTGAATATAAGCTATGAGTCTGAAACGCATCGACGTGTTTATCATCCAAAGATGGTTGACATGACCAATGTTCATTATAGAACGTTCAATGTACGGATGATAGATTTTATCATAGTTAGCTAAATATCAATGGCGGCCTTGTTTTGAGGAAGAATTTTCAAAATTTAATGACTCCGGTTTCTAATTCTTTTTGTTGATGAAAGAATAGTCAAATTTTTTTACATGCGGACGTTTTAGGACAATGGGTTGACAACGGAAAACCCAATTCAAGGAAAAATAAATTTAAATGCTTAAACAATAATTATCAATAGATATTGACCAAGACTATTTTTTACGCAGAAATTTGCACGAATCTCCTACTAAAGTCTGGAATTACACTTATTGGCTGCCGCTTGCAGAACATTCATGAATTCTGAGTTGACACTCGTCCTACTAAAGCTTCGGTAAAATTTATCGGTTTTGTAATTTTGCAACACGACCAGCAGCTTATCAATATCATAGCTTAAGCTAAGAGCCATATCGGCCCAAGCTGATAATTACAAAATTTACAGTGCTCAAGAACTACTTTTTTCATAGCATGCGAAACCAAAATTCATTAACATGAATAGTCATTTAAAATACGACTCGATGTGAGAGGAACGCACTTCCAAAACTGAGTTGCAGTCGTAAAATGGTCAGTTAATTTTCTCAGAGATATGATGGAAGAAACCTGGCTATCATCTTCACTAAAGTGAACACATTGTGAGCCGTCATTTGGATTCTGTTCTCGATAAGCGTAGTAAATAAGAGCTTATGAGAACTATTGCAGGAACCGCAACCTGAGCTTTCTGTATATAATTTCAAGTTAAGTGAGGTCTGCTTATAGTGCCCACCCGACGACTTTGAACGTCTCTCTCGAGTATGCAGGTTTTATTCATCGTTATCTTATGAATATACAGTTACAAAGCTATTCAGCAGCTTTTATTCATCGTTATGTCATGAATAAAGAGTTTCTAAGATATATTCAGCACCTTTTATTCATCGCTGTGTCATGAATTAGAGTTTCTAAGCTATTCAGCTGCTTTTATTCATCGTTATCTCATGAATATATAGTTACTAAGCTATTCCGCAGCTTTTATTCATCGCTATGTCATGAATTAAGAGTTTCTAAGCTATTCAGCTTAGAAACTCTTAATTCATCATACATCAGTATGCCAAGAAAAAAGTGTTACTTAAGCTATTCAGCACCTTTATTCATTACTATGAATGATGAGACGCTAAGCTATTCAGCAGCTTTTAAACATAGCTATGTCATGAATTCATGAATGAGGAGTTCTTTAGCAATCAGACAGATTTCATACATTACTGCGTCATAAATGAAGAGTTTCCAGGCAATTCAGCAGCTTTTATTCATCACTATATCATAAATGAGAAGTTTTTTAGTTATTCGATCTAATAATTAGTATTAGTATTAAATTAGTAGATTTAATACAATAGTATCTCGTCGAAAAAGTAATGTTCCACAGCATTTGAGACGCTCCGTTGTTCCCAGCGCCGACATGGGCGGACGTTAGATCGACGGACGGAGATGAACATAATTAATCCGAATCCGCATCGTTCCCTACCGATGGGTCGTGTCCCAAGCAAACTATAACACATGATAAAATAATTGACAACAGCAGTGGAAGAGCAACAAGACTAAAGCAGGTAAAAAACAAAATTTGTCAGCGTCTTTATCTAAACTTTAATAAGACTGACATGTGACGGCTACTGCGCTTGTTCCGTTACAATTTCAAGGCTACTTTGCATTTTTTTATGATGATATTGATGTCAAAACTACACTGATTATATACGTAACGATTATACACTGATTATACGTAGTACACTGATATAGTTACGTAAGCGAAAGCTGAACTTTCTTTTGCAGTTACCATTTGATTGTATACTTCATATTAGATATTCTGAAATGGATAACAATAGAGCATCATGCAATTGATTTTCATTTGAGTCTTACTTATCCGCGACATCTTTCACCCAATTATCGATATGACGCAAATAATATTACTCATAACATAACATAACATAACATAACATAACATAGTGATGTCGGCGCTGAAGAGGAGGCCTGACGTGGCCTGTGGCCGATTCTTTTACTTTTCGTGACTTGTTCACAGAAGATCTAAAATCGTGTCATTTGACACTCATGCTAACCACATTCAATATTTTGTCAGTAAAAAGTGAAAATCGGCTGTCATACATCAACATCAGCAATACGGAACACTTATGCAACATTGAGACGACGTAGTCTACCAGAAAGACGAGTGACGCACGGTGCGCTCATAGCGTTAGAAAATATCTACAGAATGGAGGTTGATTCAGATATGTCTTTAATCCCGATCAATAGAGAATAAATAGTACTACTTCCTTATGTCGCACAAAATTAGGTAAGTCGTATAGTATAATGACTATCGATTGATCGATGTACAACCTTTTCCTCTATCCTAACTAATGCTATACAAAATGTACTTTTTTTGTTACTGTAGAGAAATTGTAAATAAATAGCTGAATAAGTATGACAAAATTCAGATTGATATTTTATTTACGAGCGGAGTTATAATGACTATACGTAGTGATAGATTCTCATAGGGATCCAGCCAAGCCTGCCTGAGGGCTCGCGGTTCTCTATCACGACAACATTATATAGATATTAGTCAATATACGTCTTATCAAAGCAATATTACATATTACATTATATATTATTATATTACACTATTAGTTTGAAATTCCACTTTGAAATGCTTCCCATACTCGACCATGAAAACTGTCAGCCTTTGCAACCACAATGCTTATTAGAGCTTTCTTACGAGCTCATTTGTAAATCCCGAATTGACATCACTTGGGAGATATCTTTATTTCAACAATATCTTTGTACGCGTAAACTTTTTAGATTTGATGCAGGCTGTTACTTCAGCAAAACATCAAAAGTATCCTAAGCTCACGTATTATCAAGTGTTGTACAAACCCACATCTCCAGCCTGCAGCCCCTACAGTTAATCCCAGGCGAATAAGAGGCGGCCAATCATCGGCCAGCTGAGATACATCGTCAATGTGCCTGTAATTTGCAGTGTACGTGCGTGCCGAACACCACACGACCGGCATTAGCTGGAGCCGGAGACTGGTCTCGTAAGATGTCAAATTTATTGTAGCGCGCACCAGTATTTCTGTGGTCCCTACTGACACTGATGCCATCATTAAGATATTGACTCATAACCATGTGAGATGTGTCGAGGCTGGTCCCTCTAAACTTATTATTTTATTGTGGCGGCACTTCAAAGTATTTTCTCTCCCCTATAGAATAGGGAGGTAGGGAGGGCTAAGTCAAGAACGTCCGACTGCTGAACGTGGAGTGTGTGTGTTCTTGAATAAGAAAGTTGTCTATATTTTAAATCGATGTATGTGTAGGAACCTTATGACTTAGACACAATTTATGAAAAATAACTATTTAAAAACTCATTCAACGAAATTTTTTAAAATTCATACGATGCTAAAGATACTTCCCAGCGAAGTGAAACTCAGAATATAGGGCCAATCATTGACAAGAAAAAAGGCACATCTAAATTAGATCTGAATTATTTTTGCCGCTATTTTCCAAACGTCATTACATTATGGCTAACAATTTTTTTCAGATTTTCATAACATTTTATTCGACGGTAATCCCAAATGCCTACTCTGCACATCCTTGGTAACGATTATCGTTGGGCAATCACTTTTCCAAAATTTCTCATGTCATGGTAATCGTCTTACTTACTATGAACAGATTGTTTTATTGAATGATCACAATAATGAAAAACTATTAAATTCACTAGACTATCAGTTAATACTGGCAGATTTTTTTTTGGTTGCATTCCTATTTATTTTGAAAACAATGAAGGTTTCAGATGACGTACGTCCGATGTCGACATTTTTATGCATTGCAATCACCTCTCAAATTTGCAATTTTACTTCAAAGATTTCGTTTTCGTTAGATGTTGCTGTTTAAAATCCTGTTCCAGTTATTCTTTAGATTGTAAACAAAATTGAAAACGAAACGATAGGATGAAGCGAAAAACTGTTTACTTTCACTCAGTAGCATTATTATCTTAATTCCATGAACAAACCTTGCTTGAGTTGTTCTTTATA